TGGTAACTTGTGCTGATTTTAATGTATTTAAAGTGACATTTGGCAGAGTGTGCAGTGTTGCTGCCACCCCTCACTGAACAGGAATATTGCACAGATTCCCATGTTGGGGAGGATAGAGAATCAGGACAGGAAAAGTGGGAAAACTCATGGAGTGAGTTTAGGTCACAAATCTAAACCACAGCTCCATTCCAGTGACTCCGAAGGAAATAACTGCCCTGCCCCAAASTGGCCCAGTCTAGAGCTGAGCATACTGGGCTGTTGAATCAGAACAGGAGAAATAAATTTTCATCAAGGAATATCTAGATCTGAAAAGGTGTAGGTGAAAGATATTTACATTTCTGTTTATTTACTATAGCCGCTGATGATTAGATTAATCTACAGTCTGGAAACGGTTAAAAATTACTGTGCTATAGACTCAATCTAAAGCCAACTTTGTTTTGTGAATTTGAGGTTTAATCCAAAGCCTGGCTCAGTGGGCTGCTTGTAAAAAAAGAAGGGCACTGGACCATTACCCAAGGGCTGGGGGAAATGCTTCTTCCTGTCAGGTTCACTCCTTCCTGTCTGAGGTGTGAGAGTTATTAAATTTCTTGAACACTGTAAATCCTGACAATCTTCCTGTATTGACCTGGAGCACAAGGCARCTCCTTACCCTACTTTACAACAGGGAAAAAACAATGTTTGGGATAAAATAAAGGACTTTAGTGCCTGCAAAGAGCATCTGTAACCTGAATTAAATTCTGATACTGTTCACTGAGTACCTTTAATAACACAAATTCTGGAATCTTACTATAGTTGAAAGTATATCCACAACATCTAAACACAGGCTCTGCTCAGAGTTCATTCTTTTTCCAGGCTGGAGAAGCTCTCAGCAGCTCTGAGTTACTGAGAYGTTATCAACCATGCTGATAACATCCACATCTGCATGAAGRSTGCAAATTCAGGTTCTGATCTGGAAGAATGACTGGCTATAGACAGTTGTGGTGTTATGTATCTGGTTCTTGTGAGGCCTCTTTGGCATTTATTTTATTTGGTCTCACTTGTAAGTTCCATTACAACATTACAGAGGTGTCTTCTCATTTAGTGCTGCCATTTCTTTGTTATTTTCTGGSTTTCAGTTCAGCTGGATGGATGACTGCTAACTCAGGATATTGTGTATAAACTCAGGATTTGAGGCTCTCTCTGAGTGCTGTCTTTGTATAAAATTCATGTTTGGGAAGCTCAAGGTACCATTAACCATTAGCAGAGGGGTGTGTCAATAAACACAGTGGGAATAAATGAAAGAACTCGTGACACAAGGAACTAGCAATCTGTGCCCCCTTTTCCAGGGGATCAGCATAAACCCTATATCGTGGAATATTGTCACCCACTCCTGTCTATAAGATGGTGTGGAAGATAAARTACACGAAACAAAATACAAATCTCAGGCTGCCAGCAGGGAACAAGGGAAGGACAACACCAGTAGATGGAAAAGTGTTTTTTGCAGCTCTCCTCAACTCAAAACCCAGCATCTCCCCCATTGTGAGGCAATAAATTGGATGGAGAGATATCTACAATGATAGAGACTGAGCCTTTCTAAATAGAAGCCAAACAATCAGGTGCTGCTTTACTTAAAATTGTCTGCAAGAAATAAGTCTTTCTTTTTCCTGTTGCAGCAAACTGATTAGGCAGAAATCAGCCTGGTTTTGATTGAAATCAGCCTCCAATAGAACAGCTAAAGGTGTCTGTCTTGTGTTGGCTTTGTGTTTTAGGCCTTTGATCCAAAATATTGTCAGATTGTTATCACTGATTAAATTCTTTTTGTATTTGCTTTTGTGTAGCTATTTACCCATGAAAAGTCCAACTTTATGGGATCYTTTTATAAGGCTTGGACAGGTTTTRCTTGCATCAAATCTAAACTGAAGTTTTTAAATCTGGAGAGGATTGTTGTTCCCTCCCCCATCAATTATATTGTTGTTGCAGAAACAACACAGAAATTCAGAGTTACAATGAGGAGAAGAAATGAGCCAAGCCCCAGTTTTTAATTTCCAAAGCTGTATCACATGACTTTAGCTGACTTTAATTTTGGCATCCTGGCAGAATCCTGTGGAAATGTGGATTTTTCTTGGAGGTTGTTTTCCCAAGTTACCCTAGWTATGAATGACTTCTCTTCATTAATTTTAGTTTATAAATATAAATAAATGCATCCTTGGAACATTTGGTACTTCACAGCACCATTCTCTGGTTAGCAGAAACATCTGATTCCCACCCCCACCTCTGTACTTTCTGCACAGATTTGTAARAGAATCCTTGGGAGTGTGGAGATAAACCTGAATAAAGCACAACTTGAATTGCTTTTTAGGCCACACTATTTTAACGTGGGGCCTGAAAGGCATGGCCAGGAAAATTCTTTGTGGTGAGTGGGTTGGAGGCAGAAATTCTCACCTTCTGCAGAACAAATGCTCCACTATCAGGAGCRGGCAATGCTGAGGGAAACCATTTGGACGTAATGGGATTACCGGAGGTGTGATGCTGCTGGTCCTTCTGCAGAACAAGTGCTAATGGTTTATTAGTTAATTGGTGTTTAGTTGTAGTTATTTTTGCTGGAATCAGCCTTCTGATGTGGGTAACTCTGTCTCTTGTGCCACAGTAGGGCTGTGTTGCAGGGCTGGTGTCACCTGAACTCTGATTTTGTGTCACATGCAGGTCTCCCAGCASGCTGGCAGGAACCGGCAGGAATTCCTGATGAGGAGCATCAGCTATACCGGTGACAGCATGAACTGAGACCTAGCCTGGAATCCAGGGGATTTCTCTTTGCAACTGCAAAGGCTCTATCAGAATTTAAAAAAATAGGGCTCTCAACCTGCTCTAAAATTTGTCATTTTATGTTGCAGACACTGTCAAGTGTTCACAAGGATTAGCAGGCAGCAATTACTTCCATAAACACTTCAGCTGGTAGGAGACTGAATGGGAACTGGTGCAGGAATACAGCAGTGGATAAAACACTTGACACTGGGAATTAATCATTTCAAACACTGAACAAATCAGCAGCAAATAAACACCTTCAGTATCTGCCTGTAGACTGTCCCTTGCAGCCCGCCCTCTAATTTGGGATCATCAATCTATTTGGTGAAGATGGGTCTCTCCTTGTATTGAATCACCAAATGTTTACTGTCCCTTAGCTTCCCTCCAGTTTTAGAATTACTCTCAGGAATAAAATGAGAATTCACTGTCAGCTTTGATGTTCAAGTGTATCCTGTTGAGCCTGCTAGGCCTGGCTGGAATACAGAAAAACAGTGTCTGTTTTGATCCCTGCTGAAAACAAGATGAAGAAGGGGATAAAAATAAATCAACAAAAAAGCCCTCCAAGTAGAGTTTGATCTGTGCACAATCAGGTTGAAAAAAACTGATCTATTCCATCCTCAATTAATGAATACCGGCTGCACTAAAAACAAACCACTGAAAGACCACCCAAAATCAAACCTAACTCTAGTAATATTTATGAGGAGGATACTTTAAAAAAAAAAAAAAAAGTGATTTTTTTCAATTTTACCATTAGCAGCTTTTCCTTTCCCAAGATAGTTTTGACTAAAACTATAGATGTTGGCATCAAGAAGAGAGAGGCTCATCCTGCACCTGTTAGGTGCAAGGGTTTATGTGCTAGAGAGCTGACAGGGTGAGGCCCCAGCACCCACTCTTGTGACAGGCATCATTTAAATGCAAAATTCTGAAAAYTTTAACCACAGCAGAGGCTTCAATGTGGAATGTGCAAGCAGGGTACAAAGTCAGCTCAAGTTAATATCAAATCTGTCCATGGGCATCTTTCCATTGTCTTCCATGAGCAGTGCTAACAGTTGTCCAGGCAGTGGGAAAAGTCCACGGAGCTGGAGGGCAAGAGGGAGAGGATTCACATGGAAGAAGAACAGGCTGTCCCTGGGACATTCTCCACAGCATTGTGGTTTTAAGAGCTTGTGTGTTCCAAAGTGCATCCCCTGGAGCTGCAGAGCAAAGCCTTGGTGATCGTAACTGCAACAGAGTGTGGAGCTGAGGGAAGATTTGAAGCAAGAACCTGGCTGGATTCTGCCACTTGCCGAGAAGGTGCAGAGATGAAGAACGGAAGAGGTATTTACTTTGGGTTTGGAAATATGGGGTGAAAACCATTGTCCTACTGTAACATAAAAATAGGAGGGGATTAAATGGGAAAAAAACCCCACCCTTCTCTATTAGAAATATTTTATTCAACCTGAAACAAAACCATTTGTAAGATTTTCTTTTCCCAATTCTTGCCTCTTTTAGAGCTTGAATTTTAAGCCAAGCCCCAGCTAGCAATGCCCACATGGGCTGGTTCTGCATTTTCCTGGTGTAACTCGAAAGCGCCCACATTGTTTCCACACTTCCCAAATGTTCCCCCTGCATTTTTTTTTTTTCATCCCGTCTGTCCCCCGGCTCCCCCCGCCGCCCTTTCCAGCTGAAGTTTCTGTCATCTGTTCCCGGCGGGTTCCTTTTTTTAACTTGCGGGGCCTGCGCCCGGGAGCGGGGCCGGGAGCGCGGCAGGTGCGGGGCTGTCGCTGCGCCCCGCCCGCCGCATGCGGGTCACCCATCCATCCCTGCTGCAGGGGAGCGGAGCGGGGCCGGGACCAGCGCGGGGATGCGGAGCGGGGCCGAGAGCCGCCGGGGGATGCGGAGCGGGGCTGCCAACATCCCCGGCTCGGCCCTGGCCGCGGGGCGGGGGAGCGCAGGCTGGGGATGCTCGGCTGGTGATGCTCGGTGGTGATGCTGGGTGGAGGAGAAGGAGGAGGAGGAAGAGGAGGAGGGGGGAGCTGGCGGGACAGCCTGAGGTGGGCGGAGGGGGGAGGCGGGTGTTAAACCATCGCTCCGGGGAGGGCTGAGCATTTGCAAATTCCGGCTCCAGAGCGCGGGGAGCATCCTTACCCACGCCGGGCCGCCAGCAGCGGCAGGGCAGGACGAGGCTTCCCGGCTCCTGGGGATCCTTAGCGCCTTCTCCCCGGCCGGCCGTGCCCTGCCCCGCGCTCCCGGAGCCCATCCGCCCGCAGGCAGCGCTCAGCCGCAGCCCGGCCCCTGTCCCCGGCGCGCAGCACGGGCACAGCCCTGGGTGAGTAAAGCGGGAGCTCCCCTACTCCTCCACGACCATTCCAGCCCTTCTCCACATCCCTGGCTGCTCCTGGGCTCAGCTGTGCGCCGGGAAGGTGCAGCAGATCTCTGTCCTCTGGTAGGTCAGYCAGGCTGGAATCCTTGCCTGGGGAGGGATTTTTGAAAGGCTTCACTATCTGCTAGGAACTTACCAGTGTCCACTTGGAAACAGCTCCTTCCCTTGTACATACCCTTCTCTGCTTCACCCCACCCCTTTCTTTTCCTTTCCCCCTGCTTTACAACTTTTCCTGCCTTGTRGAGTTGCCTCCCTCACTTTCACCTGCAGCTTTCCTTAGGTGACAAGAAGCCAAAGATAGGCTGGAAGACTTTTGTCACTGACGGTTAGAAACAGCAAGTGTCTCAAAACACCTGTGTGTTTTTCTTTTGTTCTCCACTAGGCTGAAAAGTCATGACAGCTGAAAAGACTATTCCTATAATTAATGGCAAGCCAGAAGATGCTTTGGACCCAGAAGCCTCAAGTACCAACCTCGTCCACAGCAATGATAAGAAAGTTCATGAAAGAGGTCACTGGAACAATAAGGTTGAATTTGTGCTTTCTGTGGCMGGGGAGATTATTGGGTTGGGAAACGTCTGGAGATTCCCATACCTTTGCTACAAGAACGGAGGAGGTAAGATGGCATCACGTATGGATTTACATGGGAATTAAACGTGGGAATGAAACAGTTAAGAATGCTTTGCAGTGATTTATTGCACTAGTAAGAGATACGTGTTCAGGATTTCAGTGCATGTGCAGACAGCAAAGCTTTAAACATCTGACAACTGAGAAAAATCGTTGTGTTTCTCTCTCCTTCTCTCCAAACACTGTGTGGTTTATTTTTACAAGTTTCTTTTGCCTTGGTAAATTGACATATTTTTTTTCAGTAGCATTTTTCATGTAGAAGAAGCTGGTGTTCTGTTATAGTAGTACACTATGTCTTCTGCCTGTGAATACACACCCAGGCATACTTAACTAAGTTTGTCTGACACAGAAAAGAATGCAGCAGTTTATTTGTCACAACAGTGTACTTTGAAGAGGGTGAATTTTTTTTTTAATAATGATACAAAGATTTTTTTTTTTCTTTGTCACGTGATTTTTTGGGTAACTCAATGTACTTTTTTCCGCTGCATACTTCCCCGATTCCTACAGCAAGGTAGGGAACGATGTAAAACTGCAGGTTACTCAAAAAAGAGAGCAAGCCCTAATAAATTTTAAACATGAATGTTATTTGAGAGAGGAAAGAGCAGACTTAACTTCTGCAGAAGTATAACATGTGGCATGTATTGGTTATAGCTAAATATAAACTGTATAAGATATATGACAGTTGAGAATAAGCACATCAGCTGTGACTTGGGAAGCAAYGAGGAAAGAAAAGTAAATTAAAAACTCAGTTCAGAATTCTGTGGACTGGGTTCAACATTCTCCCCACTTAAGGCCTGAGTCAGTGGTAGTGTAAACACAGAGGCTGGGAGAAAAATAGGATGTTCAGGGCTGATAAGCACCGATCTGCTCTTTGACAGGATTGTTTGCCAGCAATGCTGTGCCAGATTTCTATTCCTTGTCCCTCCTTATCTRAACTCARGGATGGTTTTTAGCCYAYTTTRTCTGCTGTTTCTGCAAGACAAATACTGTTGTGGAGGTTGTGTTTATCGTTGGTAGTTCCTTTCTTTATGGATCTGTATTTTGGCAAACGAAGGTAACAAGAGTTCACCTCTTTCCAGAATGCTGCTACCAACTCCTGCTGTTAGTACATAAATATTAACAAGCTGCATATGATACACAAATCCCTTTCTTGTTGACTGTCGAGGTGYTTCCAGAGAACTTTTGGCAGGGGAAATGATGAAAATATGTTTTTGGTGTGTAATTTTTTGGTTCATACCAAACCTTTAGGTGCCCATTTGTAGGTATGTGCCAGCTTGTCAAAATGTGATGTTATTTCTAAGGCTGTAACATGAGGTAGAAAGGATTGCAGTAACTGTTTTGGGTGATCTGATGAAAAAGTAATTTTTTAAATATCACATTTTATCACCACTCTCTTCTTTAATAGAATGACTGGGTGTGGTTTAATTGCTCATGTCCTGGTACCATGGGACATTTGCCATTGACCAGTTTTAGTCAATGAACACTTTCGTCTATGACCTGTGACTTTGTAACCCTCTGGAATGCCCTGCTGGAATTAGACCAGAGTTTGTTTTCAGTACTTACATCTGACACATCAAACCTCTTAGTATGGGGTAGGGGAAGATGGTGATAAAATGTTTGAGCTAGTTGTGAAATAAGTTGCTGCTTACAAAGGAATYGAGAAGCTGTAGCATGGAACTTGTGAGGTCTGACCTCTCACTAGCATTCAGTCCATAACAGGTAGCGTAGGGATAAGCTTCTGTAATTTTAAGTTGTTCTTGTGGATGTTTAGATTTTTAGGAAAATTGATTTCTTTGCATTCTTAGAATTAAGCATTTCTTGGAATCTGATCATTTTGCAAGCTGGGAAACCTGAGGTTTTCTGATTTGCCTGTTGGAACTGTGTTGGAAAAACAGTCCAAGCTGATTCTTTGGATTTCCACAAGTGGCCATGTTAAACTCACTAATTGTTAAACACACTAATGTTAAACACACTAATTGTGTGTATAAGGGGGTCAAGATGGATTTCATACTGGCCAGTCAATTAGCCAGAGAAGCCATGAAAGTATTCCATTCTCATGGAATCCTCATGGGTTGCTTGGGGTTCAACTGCAGGGACATTTCCTAACTRTTGTGATGAGATTTGCTGTGCTGACTCTGGAGGAGGACACTGCCAGTCAGAGCAGCTGTATTTAATTGTCTCAATTAAAACAACACCTTTCTAATCAAGATGATTAAAGCACAAAACTGTTTCAGGGTGGGTGAGTGCTGTGTTTGGGTTTTGCTCTGGGTCACTACCTGTGGCTGGGGTTTGCTGTCAGAATCCCACAAAAATGCTGGTTCATTTGTTATTTTCCTAGAGTTTCACATGCATGTTTCTGGCTGATAAGGCCAAGACCTGCTTTCCTGTCCTAGAAAGGTCTGAAGTTTGTTTCTTCATTCCCTTTTCATGATCCTTATCATCAGGATCCTATAAACAATATGCAAATGATTTCTTGGATTTTATATCCATGATGCGTCTCCATCTCTGCTTCCCTGAAAAAAGCAAGGAAGATGGTGTAGACTGATATGGTGATGAGCAGAACAGARCTTTGTGGCTGAGCATATCTGTGATCTTTTCTGTGTTTGAGAGACACTTGAGCAACCTTTATACTGAGGAACTTTGATCTGGTCTGTTTTAGTCCATGGCCTAGGCTGACAGGTTAACTTTGGATATTTGGGGCAGGAGTAAAGCCTTYCTGCACTGAGGGATGGCTCACAGGTGATCCTTCCTTTTGTGGGAAAATCCTCCCTGTGCTGCCAAGGAGCTGTGCTCATTCTAACCAACACCCCCTCAATATTCACTTGCAGGAGCTTTCCTCATCCCCTACGTGGTTTTCTTTATTTGCTGTGGAATACCAGTATTTTTCTTGGAGACGGCCTTGGGACAGTTCACAAGTGAAGGAGGCATCACATGCTGGAGGAAAGTTTGCCCTCTATTTGAAGGTAACAAACSGTGCTGTGTTCCACTGCAAAAGAGTGCATTCAATTTGAAGTAAAATAAAATWACTTGTATCAAAATTGAAGTTAAGATATACTTAAAAGTGTAAACATTTGYTTTTAAATTACCTGAAAAGGAGAAGTTTTCTTTTATATCTCAATTTTTTTTTTTTGTGTCTGCAGGCATTGGCTATGCTACCCAAGTTATAGAGGCACACCTAAATGTTTATTACATCATCATTTTAGCATGGGCTATCTTCTATTTGTTCAACTGCTTTACTACAGAGCTTCCCTGGGCTTCCTGTGGCCATGAATGGAATACAGGTATGACCTTGGGAGACATTCAAATCCTTCCAAATGATTGATTAATACATTGAAATGTCCTGAATGAAACTATTGGCGTAGCAAAGACTGTGGAAATGGGTTAATCACATCCCAACACAGCAAAATAAAGGAAATGCAAAGGCTGACTTAGAACCTTTTGGGTTAGGTCATTGTACAAGCATTTACTCCTGTAGAATATCATGTCAACAGAAAAAGACTATGGATTTTGTTAATTCTGTAAGATATTCTGGCTAAATCCCAAGACTCTCGTTTGCAATCATATCTATTCTCYCTGAACACAATGAGTGAATTCTGCTGTAGAGAATGACCTGATGGCAGGTTGCAATCTTGCTCTTTCGCTCTGATGAAATCAGGAGGAGTTTGAATGGAGAGGAAAAAATATTAAATGTGGATCTTTGGATTTATTCTTTTAAATGCCAGATGTTGAGAGATAATGTTCATCAAGCTACTTCTGGAAATTTAGTCTCATAAAGAATCCTTACTGCATGTAAAGTAGCCTTCTGCATGAAGGATGGTGTGCTTATAAGGGTTGAGTTGTGCTTCTGTCCTCTCATTGATGTTTACGTCTGAAATTCTCTGCTGATTGACTTTGTCCTTCGCAAACATTCATGGGGGGAATCACATCCTTCTGCCTTTGTTCCCACATTCCTGAAGTTTTGCATTTATCCCTTATATCACAGTCCCATTTCAAATCAAGTACCCACTGTATTATCTTCCATAGTTTTCATTAATTAGTTATTCAATGTGTTCTTTGAGCACACCTAAATCTGCCTGAAACCTCAGTTTATGTCAGGGAATTAATTTTGGGCCCAATGGATGTGGAAGGCTTTGGTATCAATTTTGGCAACCCTGCAAAGGATCTTAGCCAGTGCTATCACTGTCCAAATACTCCACAATGCTGAGCTGCGTTATCCTTTCTCTGTCTTAGAGATAATAACAAAAACAAAAMGCCAAAGGAAATATCCACTTGCCTTACCAGGAAAAAGTTTATGGCTGGCCATGATCCATGAGCCATTTGTAAYCATAAGCCATTGAAGCAGCAGCTGGAGTGGGAGTATCTTGTGATTCCCAATCCACTGCCTCAGTTTCTCAATGTTTGTTTCTTCTGCCTGAGGGGATGTTTGGCTCTGTGTCTTTGGGAAGTGTTGCAGGAGAGTCCTCATGGGTATTTCTCTGGGTTGTCATAATCTGGAGTTACAGAAGTAGCAGTTGTGGCAGTTAGTGCACCCAGAAACCCTTTAACCCCACACAGAAAATGTCCTGTGGAACGGGGGCTTTGCAAGGTGCACAGACTGGGTGATGAACAAGAAATGTTCTTGCATGTCAATATAGCAAACTCTGGTTTTTGYTCTTTTACAGAAAACTGTGTGGAATTTCAAAAACTTAACATGAGCAACTGCAGTCAAGTCTCTTTRCAAAATGCCACTTCTCCAGTGATGGAATTCTGGGAGTAAGTGCACATAAACTTTATATTTGATCAGACTATTCATTACCTTCCTATGATTTGATAATTTACACATGATTAGAYACCTTGTAACTCTATAGCACTCAGGGATGTGAGTTCAGCTGGAAATTTTCTTAAACAGCTAGAGAGTGTCAGAAGGAGAGTTTTTAACTCTTTTTTTAGAGGATACAAGGAAAGGAATTCCATATCCTGAAAGGACACAGAACAAAGTGTGCCACTTGCTCGGGAGCTTGGCTGCTGCTGCTGGAGGAAAGAGCCTCAAATCCATACTAATGAGGAGGCAAAGGTGAAAGAAAAAGGATGATTTACAAGATTCCTTTTTCTTTTTCTCTCCCAAATGTTTTTTTCCCTTAGGAGTTTGAGAGCTGCATCTTCATCCTTGTTTCAGCTAACTAATCCTCTGGCTTCTGTGTCTCATGATTTTTTTAAAGGAATATGTAAGTGTTAGTTATTCAGCTAGAATAACAGGAGAGTTTAACCCTCTCCTGTCCCCTGACTCTGATTCCTAGCTGGAATGAGAGAAGAAGATCATATGTTTGCAAAGATGATGTGCTTTTGTGGTGACATATTTTTCCTGATTATAAATATTTAATCAGTGCAGTCTCAGATTTGTTCGTCGCAGGGCGTAGGGTGTGTTAAGCCAGCCAGAGAAATGGAATGCTACTTTTAATACTGTGTGATTTCACAACTCAAAGCCTGTTACACAATTCTGGTTTACTACAATTTCTCGAGGACCCTTTAATTTTATTATTAAGGCAGAGCCTTATTCACAGGCTGTTTTGTTTTCAGGATAGCAACAGCTACATTTTGGAAGAGCCAAAAACTCCTTGAAGGGACAACTTTGCAATGACATAATTCCCTTGAATCTTAGTGTGCTTTTGTCTGCCTGAACCTCTTTGTCTTGCTACTTTGGTTAACTTAGACTTCATGGGTTGTTTCAGCAAATAATACCATTTTTTAAAAAAATAAAATATCCCCTCCCAAATTAAATTAAGCCTGAACAGTATGAGAGATGTATTCACTCTCTGGGTAAAACTGAATTTTTATTTCCTGTTTAAAATTTTCAATAAGAACACCAAACATCTTAAAATATATCTAACCACAGATAATCTTTCAGAAGAAATGAGTGACTCTCAGGTGGTATCTCTTAATGCTGTGACTTCATCTTAGTTTAGCAAAAATATCTTATGGTTCTTTGGGATAACACGAATTAAGACTTYGTATCAGTAGAGTAAATGAACAAAATATTTTCTCGAATATTAGCCAATTTACCCACTGCATTTACATGATTTTTCAATCATATTCCCAACTCAGCCACTGATGGTAACTCCACTTCTGCAGAGAAGTAGGAAATGTTTAGTTCAGCTATATGGAGGGCACAGAGTGAGTTTTATGTTCTCACATTTCATGGTTTTGTGGGTTTTGTGTTAGTGCTCATCTCTGAATTGCTTAAATTCCTATGTCAGTGTTATTTTGAAGAACATACAAACCCATTTGAAGCACGTCCCTTCTCAGAGATCTCTAAAAATGAAGCTAAACAAGATTCCTTAGCTAAACTTGCAATCAAGTTGCAGTAGGTTTTAAAGCCTTCAATTTTGTGGCATATTTCCCTACCTGATTTTGGCTGAGGCAGGAATGAATTATGAAACTAGAAGGGATAATCAGATTTAGCCTTTTCTCCAACTGGTTTTACATTCTTGTGWATACAAAGTGGAAAATACACACTTCAAAACTTTTAAAATCACAAAAACAAAAGAAAAAGTAAATTAAATAATCTGTTATTTATTTGAAACTTCTTTCTTTATTGTGTCACAGGCAAACTTTTGTAACACCAACAGTYTACTGGCCAAAATAACTTAAGATATTAAACTTATCTGCTTTCTCTGTCCAAGCAAAACTGAAGTTGCATAGTTTTGCATGCAAAAAATAAATGCAGTCACTTCCTGCTAAGGAAGATGTTTGCCTTGTTTGAAATTCAAATGGTTATGAAGTTGTATGCTTCAAAATCTGAAAAAAAATGTGACAAATTAGTTTTGTAATATAAGAATGAGCTTTTTTAAAATTCAGGACTGATTTTGCATTGAAGTGATTGACTGGAATTAAGATGATAATTCAATGTATGTGTTAAATATCATATATTGATGCACAGGGGAGTCCTTTGTGGCTGGATGTGCAGAGCGCGGACTCAGAGCAGTTAACACAAAGTAAATATTACCAGAGCAGTGAATTTGCCTGGAGGTAAGTGTTACCAGCAATGTTATTTCAYTCAGCCAGAGGCCTTGCTCTCCTGCTGATGCTTTATTTCTTTGTAAATTCTGGAGCCATAAACTCCCTGTGCACATGTTGAAACCAGTAGTAAGAGGTGAGTAGCCTGGAGTAGCCTGCACGGAGCAGCTGCTCAGGGCTTTCCAGAGCTCACATGGGCACTGTGTGAGCATCCTCCCTGCTCCAGTACTCCCTCCCAGACCTGAGGCTGCTCACAATTAATTTACTCGTGCCTGCCGAGGAAAATGGGAGGCTCTAGATTTGTTCTGAGCAACCATTGAGAACCTTCACACGCTGCTCCCTGCAATGCCAAGGCTGCCATTGAAACTCCTCTAAGTTGTGGCCACATAAAGCCAATTTATTGTGTGAAGGGTTGGCTGAGGGGGAAAAAATGGGGTTTTGTGGGTGGTGGCWTGTTTTTTTTTTGTCTGTTGAGTTAATCTGTGRATTAGAGGGGTAATTATTGTGCACAGTGATCCTGTTTGCTTATTGTGTGTGAGCTTGTTTACATGTAGAACTCARCCCTGTGTTTGTAAAGTGTCAGGCTGATGCCACAGCTGTCCTTTGATAGCCATATCACATTACCACAGTGCTCTGCAGTGCTCACAGCCTTCAGTGCTTTTCATTAAACCCAGCCTAACCACAAGAGTGCTTGGGGGAGCCTCAGTAATTCCCCAGTGGTTTTGCAGTGCTCTGTGGTGCTCRCCATCCCAGTGCTCCCAGTCTGAGGGTTGCTCGTGCTGGGGAGGTGCAGGTTGTGTGTCACGTGGGATTCATGTTCTGTAAGTGCCAGCAGAGATTAAGAGCAGGGGGACAAGCTGGATTTGGATTTATGTGTGCAAAATGAATACACCAGGCCCAAAACATCTTTATTTCTGGCTTTGCAAAGGAATCTTTTCTCTTTTACCTTGTTCTGCTAAGCCTTTTCCATCAGCTGGACTGTAAGGCTCAGCCCTTATTTATTTGTCACTGGAAGCAAATCCTCAGCTAGGCTGAAGACTGCAAACAAAAGTTCAGCCTTTCTGCTGCAATATTKGTAATTTTTGCTGCTTCTGTGGCCTTGGCCACTCCTAGATCTGATGTTCAAGTCAGGCAGGGGCTCACCCATRTGCAGTGGTGATTGAGAGGCTGCCTGGCAGTGCCATGAAGCTTTTCCAGTTCCCCTCCTCAGGGAGCACAGAGGGTGCTGTTCCTGTGYCCCCTTAGCAGGTTTAGCCTCACTCCTGGTCATTCAGCATTCTCCACCTGCTTTGAAAACTGCATCACACACAAAGTGAGGACTTAATTTTTGTCTTGCATTAATTGTTTCTTTGTTAAAACAAAAAAAACGAATGACAAAAGATTCAGAGAGAAACACTGCAGTAGGATCTAGATGCTGTTTTCCCCCTGGTGCACTCCAAAGAACCTCACTGTACATGCAATAACTTCAAARCATTAAATATTTGTCTGAGCCTGTRATGGATAACCACTTACCTGGAGCTACACAGTGAAAGTGGTCTGATCCTGCTGGAGGAGSAGCAGGCAAAGTCTGGGAGTTTGGACACTCCTTTCTTCTTTTCCTGCTTAGAAATATGGATCCCTGTGAGTGTTTTAACACTTCATTTGAGTGAGCAGACCTGCCACTGCCAACTGATCAAAATTAGGGGATTTTAAAGGATTTCTTACCTTGCTCGAAAAGACCTTTAAAGCCATAGCCTTGAGAAGTGTGAACATTTCTAAGGTGAGCAGCTAAACTGATAAAAGTCTACTTTTTAGTCTTCAAACTCTCTGCTGCTGTGTTCCAAAGGTCAGACGAGGATCGGAACCTCCACTTTCCCCTTCATACTGGTGGCAACATTTGGAGACTGACCTGTTTTCTCCCCTTTTTATGGCATTTCCTCATCCCAATTGTGCAGTTTGCTTGAGGATTTTCTAAGAAAAGGTAACAGTCACAATTTCAAGGTGCGGCACATGGAATTTTTAGTGTCCAAACTTTAAACGTAGTGGTAGCTGCAATATTGATAATTACTGCTGAATTAAATCAGGATATGAGAAAGGACTCTGAAAGTAGGTGAGGGTACATTGATAACCTGGAAACAGGATAGAGAGGAGATGCTCTGCTCCACCCTTTTCCTGCATTCCTCGGAGAAGGTGTGGGGGCTGCAGCCATGCCTGTGTGCTCTTTTGGCTGCTGCTCCAGTCTGTCACCAGGGGCAGCAATTGGAGGTTCGCAGTGCCTGGGAAGGGAGCTGCACAGAAAGAGGAGCCCGGCCTTTGTGGCTGATTCCACCTCAATAGTTTTTTATTGGCTGTGTAGCAACAACTTAGTCCTCTGTTAAAGGAGCTCTGCTTGTTGGCCTGTCACTCTCTGGAGGGGGTGACACATCCTTAGCGTTTCCAAGTAAAGCCCAGTGAGAAAAAAACATTGGTTTTGTCTGGGCCAAAGAAAAGGGGCTGTTCTCAGCAAAAAGGAAAAGGCACAAACCCTTTCCTTGCAAAGTCAAAGACGAGGTTTTTCCTGTTTCATTCAGGCTACAAATGAGTGCAGGAGTCACATTGTGGTTAATCCCCAGCACGCTGAAAAGTCAGGGGCAAGCTGAGCCTGATCCTGCAGAGCTCAGTCCTGGGGGATTCAGCACCGCTCCGAACCGACCCCTTTGTGGGTGTCTTGTAGGACACGGAGTTGTGCCAGCCCCTCCTCTTTCTGCCCAGTTCATCAGAGGCCGTGTGAAAATTGCTTT